GGCCAAATTTTGCCGGACAGTCTGCGGGCAAAATTTGGCCAAATCGAGCTGCTCGTCGTACGCGATGAGAAATGCGCGGCTCGATTTGGCCAAATTTTGCCGGGCAGCCTCCGGGCAAAATTTGGCCAAATCGGGCTGCTCTTCGTAGGCGATGAGAAAGGTGCGGCTCTATTTGGCCAAATTTTGGCGGGCAACTTTCGGACAAAATTTGGCCAAATCAGGCTCTTCGTACGCGATGAGAAAGGCGCGGCTCGATTTGGCCAAATTTTGCCGGGCAGCTTTCGGGCAAAATTTGGCCAAATCGGGCTGCGCTTCGTAGGCGATGAGAAATGCGCGGCTCGATTTGGCCAAATTTTGCCGAGCAGCTTTCGGGCAAAATTTGGCCAAATCGGGCTGCTCTTCGTAGGCGATGAGAAATGCGCGGCTCGATTTGGCCAAATTTTGCCGAGCAGCTTTCGGGCAAAATTTGGCCAAATCGGGCTGCTCTTCGTAGGCGATGAGAAAGGCGCGGCTCGATTTGGCCAAATTTTGCCGGGCAGCCTTCGGGCAAAATTTGGCCAAATCGGGCAGCTCTTCGTATGCGATGAGAAGTGCGCGGCTCGATTTGGCCAAGTTTTGCCCGGAGCTTCCCCCCCTCCCAAGAATTTAATAATGATTAATTTAAGTACGACGGGGAGGTTTCGGATTGAAATTATTTAAATTATTTAATTCTTAGGGGGCGGGGAGGGTGGTTCCCCCCCCCTTTTCGGATTTAAACTATTTAAACTATATAAGTTATTTACATTATTTGAACTATTTAAATTGTTTAAATTATGTAATTTGTTTAATCAAAGCTTTTTATAACTCCCTTGTCTCTCCCTAATTAGAAAAAACCAATCTTGCTATTCACAGATAGGTGCCCTTCTTCCTCTTCAGGAAATCGCCTTTCCCTTATTTTGCGTTTTGAAGCGACTAAGAAAAACAACAGATACGAAGAGAGGACAGGGAATGACTAAGTAAAGAGAGGGGCTCTTCAATGTCCCTCCCTTTGTCTTATGTTACTTTTCCTTCTTGGGGGGTCCTTTTTCTCCATTCAAGATGCAGAAAACGATCAAAAAGGACACCCGTTCCATCGCCCATATATAGGGAGACAGAGAAATCATGAGCATCAGCTGGGTTTGCTGCACCACTCAAAACTTCTCAAGTGACCTAGGCACACTCTGCGCCTATCAGAGTACATTACAAGTACAAGTGCAAGTACAAGCCTTCGTTTTTGAGGTAGAGGGCACGAAAGGTGGAGGAGGGCTGGGGGGGTGGGGTAAAAGAATTATATAAAACTACTTACAAGGTTTATACAGTTTATGAAGTGGGCTCTTTTTCTCTCCTTTGGCTAATTTTGGGCAACATTTGCCCTTTGGGCCCAATTTGGCCCCAAAAAAACGGCCCCAAAGGGCCCAACAATGGGAAACGTGCGGCTGGATTTGGCCAAATTTTGCCGGACAGTCTGCGGGCAAAATTTGGCCAAATCGGGCTGCTCGTCGTACGCGATGAGAAATGCGCGGCTCGATTTGGCCAAATTTTGCCGGGCAGCCTCTGGGCAAAATTTGGCCAAATCGGGCTGCTTTTCGTAGGCGATGAGAAAGGCGCGGCTCGATTTGGCCAAATTTTGACGGGCAGCCTTCGGGCAAAATTTGGCCAAATCGGGCAGCTCTTCGTATGCGATGAGAAAGGCGCGGCTCGATTTGGCCAAATTTTGCCGGGCAGCCTTCGGGTCGTTTAAATCGTTTAAATCGTTTAAATCGTTTAAATTAATTTAATTGTGGTGGGAGGTGAGTACAGACAGGCACAGAGCCAATTAAATTATTTAAATCCGACGCCTCAATTAAATAATTTAATTAGACCGTAGGATTTAAATGATTTAATTGGTTTATGGCTTGGCTGAGTCCCCCCACAATTAAATTAATTTAAACGATTTAAACGATTTAAACGATTTAATTGGGTCCAATTAAATCGTTTAAATCCGACGCCTCAATTAAATAATTTAATTCGACCGTAGGATTTAAACGATTTAATTGGGTCCAATTAAATCGTTTAAATCCGACGCCTCAATTAAATAATTTAATTGGACCGTAGGATTTAAACGATTTAATTGGGCCCAATTAAATCGTTTAAATCGTTTAAATCGTTTAAATCGTTTAAATTAATTTAATTGTGGTGGGAGGTGAGTACAGACAGGCACAGAGCCAATTAAATTATTTAAATCCGACGCCTCAATTAAATAATTTAATTAGACCGTAGGATTTAAATGATTTAATTGGTTTATGGCTTGGCTGAGTCCCCCCACAATTAAATTAATTTAAACGATTTAAACGATTTAAACGATTTAAACGATTTAATTGGGTCCAATTAAATCGTTTAAATCCGACGCCTCAATTAAATAATTTAATTCGACCGTAGGATTTAAACGATTTAATTGGGTCCAATTAAATCGTTTAAATCCGACGCCTCAATTAAATAATTTAATTGGACCGTAGGATTTAAACGATTTAATTGGGCCCAATTAAATCGTTTAAATCGTTTAAATCGTTTAAATCGTTTAAATTAATTTAATTGTGGTGGGAGGTGAATAATTAAATTATTTAAATCCGACGCCTCAATTAAATAATTTAATTAGACCGTAGGATTTAAATGATTTAATTGGTTTATGGCTTGGCTGAGTCCCCCCACAATTAAATTAATTTAAACGATTTAAACGATTTAAACGATTTAAACGATTTAATTGGGTCCAATTAAATCGTTTAAATCCGACGCCTCAATTAAATAATTTAATTCGACCGTAGGATTTAAACGATTTAATTGGGTCCAATTAAATCGTTTAAATCCGACGCCTCAATTAAATAATTTAATTGGACCGTAGGATTTAAACGATTTAATTGGGCCCAATTAAATCGTTTAAATCGTTTAAATCGTTTAAATCGTTTAAATTAATTTAATTGTGGTGGGAGGTGAATACAGACAGGCACAGAGCCAATTAAATTATTTAAATCCGACGCCTCAATTAAATAATTTAATTAGACCGTAGGATTTAAATGATTTAATTGGTTTATGGCTTGGCTGAGTCCCCCCACAATTAAATTAATTTAAACGATTTAAACGATTTAAACGATTTAAACGATTGGGTCCAATTAAATCGTTTAAATCCGACGCCTCAATTAAATAATTTAATTCGACCGTAGGATTTAAACGATTTAATTGGGTCCAATTAAATCGTTTAAATCCGACGCCTCAATTAAATAATTTAATTGGACCGTAGGATTTAAACGATTTAATTGGGCCCAATTAAATCGTTTAAATCGTTTAAATCGTTTAAATCGTTTAAATTTTAAATTAATTTAATTGTGGTGGGAGGTGAGTACAGACAGGCACAGAGCCAATTAAATTATTTAAATCCGACGCCTCAATTAAATAATTTTATTAGACCGTAGGATTTAAATGATTTAATTGGTTTATGGCTTGGCTGAGTCCCCCCACAATTAAATTAATTTAAACGATTTAAACGATTTAAACGATTTAAACGATTTAATTGGGTCCAATTAAATCGTTTAAATCCGACGCCTCAATTAAATAATTTAAATAGACCGTAGGATTTAAACGATTTAATTGGGTCCAATTAAATCGTTTAAATCCGACGCCTCAATTAAATAATTTCATTCGACCGTAGGATTTAAACAATTTAATTGGGCCCAATTAAATCGTTTAAATCCGACGCCTCAATTAAATAATTTAATTGGACCGTAGGATTTAAACGATTTAATTGGACCCAATTAAATCGTTTAAATCGTTTAAATCGTTTAAATCGTTTAAATTAATTTAATTGTGGTGGGAGGTGAGTATAGACAAGCACAGAGCCAATTAAATTATTTAAATCCGACGCCTTACTTATTCAAAAAAATAGGGCGTAGGATTTAAATAATTTAATTAAGCTCTCTCTATTTAAATAGTTTAATTTATTTAAATAAATTAAATTATTTTCTGCTTATTAAAAAAAAAGGAATGAGCTAAATAGACCCTAAAGGCTGCTCTTTCATATATATATATATACACTATATATGTGCTATATATTTGCTATATATATATATACTATATGTATATTTTATATGACTTATGAACCAAAACAACTACACTAGATATACTACATATATATATAACACTCTATATATATATATATATGTATATAGTCTATATTTATATATATATATATATACGATATGCACATATACTACATGTATACACTAGGCACAAACATGGAAAAACAAAAGCAACCGTCAAAAGCAGAAAGCCAAAAAATGACCTGAAACAAAAAGGAGCTAAGAGAAAAAGCAAAAGCAAAAGCAGAAGCACAAGCAAGAGCAAAACCAAAAGAAAAAGCAACAGGAAAAGCAAAAGCAAAAGCGACAAGCAAAAAGCGACAAGCAATTCAGACAGGCAAAAAACGACAAGCGAAAAGCAGAAAGCGAAAAGCATAGGCAGAAACAAGGAGAAAGGAACAAAAACAAGCAAAACAAAAAAAAAAAAAAAAAAACAAACAAACAAGATCAAAAAAAAAATACCAAAAAAAATGTTCTCCCCCCTTTCCCCTCCCTGCATTGAACTGCTTCCAAGAAGCCGAGCTTTTTCATCTGCGATGCCAGACCCAAGGTTGTCGAGCCAACGATGGAAAGCACCTGGCATCCCTTTATTGTTAAGATTCCGAGCGGTTCGACTCTTACGATCTACATCCAGGTCCACAGTAAGTCTGTAAGGGTAGAGGACAAGCCCTTCGGTCAGTGTCCTTGTCTGGGTAACCTAAGGACAGCCGGTACCTTTGAAAGCCCACGCCAACCCAAAATTCTGTAGATCGAGGCAGTGCAGAGTGTGCAAGCCCCTGAGGTCATGCCCTGCGCCCTTTGCGTCGCATAACTAAGCCGAGCGATGAGAAGAGTGAGTGTCTGGAGGCTTGGGGCTTAAGATGGCTTCAGGCATCACTTTCTTGTCTCGATCAGAAAACCCAGCTCCTTCTCAAGCGCCCCTCCAGCTTTGACCCGGAGAAAGCCCGCTGAGAGCCGGACGAAGTTGCTGATCAGACCCTTGGCGCTCCTTGCTCACTTCTCTCATTGAAGCCCCCAAAGCATGTGTGGATTTTGAGGGGTTTCGTGGGCTCATACCTCGACACTCGGGGACATTTAGCGCCAGCTTCGGACCCTTGATGCGGCCCAGCTTCATCCTGTTCCTGTCGCGCGCTCGTGGCTCCTTGTGGCCGCTGGACCTTGGAAGGGAGAGGAAGGGCCGTTTCCCCCATGCAGAGGCCACCAGGTACCAGAGAACCTGACAAGGACACCCAAAACAAAAGGACCAACATTCCCCAGAGAACTTCTCTGAGACACCTTGAAAAACACTTGTCCCCATGTCTTCCCTCCATGTTCCATGTCCAGGCAGCTCCTTGAAGCCTTCGCCCATCTCCTCTTCGAGCTCCTGCTCCTCCTGCCGCGGATTTCAAGATCCCAACTGAAGCCTACAGAGTACTACAGAGGACACTCAGACTTGGCTTCAAGAGCTTCGTGCCGAAGGTTTGGCGGAGGGTTACGGAGGACTGTTCAAAGTTTTTGATGATTGCAACCGATTGTGAAAAATGAAAGAGAAACACGGATTTCATCCTCAAGCCTGCGACTCTGGACCCGAAGAACTTCAATCTCTACCATGGCCACTTGGCCTTATAAACTTTAACCCAAGACAATCGCTGCAAGTGCGATGTCGAGGCCATGTCCTCCGCGCCAAGCACACCGCCGAGCACACCCAGCTGGTAGGCTTCGCCAATTCTGAGCGACGTGGGCTGCGTGTGAGGAGGAGCATGTTTCAAAGCGTTGGTGGTCGAAGTAATCAACATGACTGGAAGCGGAATGAGCCTCGTTTCTCCAAGTAGCTTCGCGCCTGGTGAGATGAACACCAAACTTCGGGCCCTACACCCCAACTCTAAGCGGCGAGCTACAGCCCGCAAAGCATAGTGCCTGGCAGCTGAACGGAAACCTGATCTGCTGTACGCTTGAACTCAGCCTTGTGTACAAGTCCAACGCAGATATCACTGGTGAGGTGCCACAACTGCCACAACTCTTGGGTCTGCCAAGGGTCTGATCAGCATCTTCCCGCAAAAGCTCCTGCAAGCGAAGGGCCGAGGAGATCCCAAGCGCCGAGAGACGTGTTCTTAGTGCTTAACCTAGCCGACCCCGGCCCAAATCCCAATGAGGGTTCCGGGCTTGAATGGGATCATCAGGTTTTCAAACTTTGTCGGCTGAGGGTCCTCCCAGCCGCCCTCCCAGAGCGACCCGAAGTCCAGGTCCCAGTTCACGCCTGGCTTCCAGTGCGAAGGGGTTCGGGGGAGCACCCGCAGTCCTCAGCTCCTAAAGGGGCTGCCATGCATCGTTCTTGAGCGCTTGGCTATCTTCCCAGCTCATTCCCTCCTTCCCGATCGAGAATCAGCAAGTACTGATACCTTCAAGAACCTGGGGCTTGATTCGATGTCGAGAGTCTGACCCGGCTAGGCAAAGCAAGCCCCCAAGTCCTCCAACATGGGACGTAAGCATCATCGCCCCCGCGAAGGCCGAGCATTTCGGCGCACCAGCACTACTGAAACTCAGACGTTCAGGTTGCTGCATGCCTTCCGGCGACGTAGGTGTGGCAGGTGCAGCCGCCTCGACTTGCGCACCTCAGAAGGAAAGGTCTTTCAAAGGCCTTTCAAGAGTTACGGCATGTTACGGCAGTTGCGCAGAAATGGTCTCAGAAGGGCTTCAGGTTGCTGGGGTGAGCTGGTGATTGTGAGTTGCTGCAGTGCTTGTCCCCCTCCACCCTCCGGGAAACTGACCATAACAGCCCCTCACGTCCCCAAGTCAAGAAATCGAGGGAAAATTGGGAGTGGGTCTCCGAATCCTTTCCATAGCATGGTTTCTTGGACTTAGCCTTGCAAGAGACGAAGTGCAAAAGTGTAAGGAAAATGTCTATATGCACACAGGTGGTTTAGGTGTTGATTATTTGTTCTAAATCACACAGGTGGTTTAGGTGTCGATTATTTGTCTTCGCTCTTTTGTGATGTTTGGTGATGTCTGCCAACTCTTTCTCGAGAAAGGGGCCCTCCGGAATGGGATGGTAGCAACCTTCGATTTCTTAGGCCCATTCTCTTTATCTGTGCTGCGCACGCATCTTACACTCTGCGCATTTCCGGGCAGGATCGCATCTCTTCGATCAAACTTGCGGCAATTCTCAAGCAGTTCATGCCTTGAATCACTAGTGATCCCAAACCCCCAAACCCTGGAACCCTAAACCCTCAATCTCCAGACCGTAAGTAATACTAACTCTGAATCGACCGGGACTCCTTCGCAAGTGGCGCCCAGCACTGTCGGCCCGTCACTGCCGTCGCCATGGCCCGCTGTCCGAAGCGCCATAGGCAACTTGCTTGCTTGGATGCAGTGAATCAATCCAGGCTGTTACTTTAGCGGACGACTCGGGCTTCACAAATAACCCCTTGGGGCTCTGCCCGGGGAGTCGCAAAAGAAATGCTTATCAGGCACTTGCAGATCGTGCTCACTGCTCTCGGTGTATGCCGCATGGTCTGCCTGTGAGCTCTTTCGCCATGCAGGTCCATGCCAGCATCGTGGGATCAGGATGGCGGTGCTTTAGCAAGCCTTCTGGGATGTCATCTCCATTTGGGCTTGTGGCTAGCTACTTCGTTACTTCAGTTCTGCCAGCAAAAGGAGCCAGCGGCGGCAAGCATCGTCCAGTCAATCACCCCAAACTAAACCGAAGAATCTCAGACCTGAAGCCCTAAAGGCCCTGGTTCAATCAGACACATGATGATGAGCCTTGGCCTGACCTGCTTCGAGGTCCTCGGGCTCGACTTTGCTTCCTGGCTGTCGCAGGGCTTTATTTAGGGCTCATGGGGTATTAACATGTATTCACGCTGTTGTTGAAGCATGTTTCAAAACCTATCCAGATTCTCAGTCTTGTCTTCCCGATTCCCAGAACCGAACAACAACGGCAATTGTCTCACTCAAATCCGGACCCCTAAGCTCCGGCACGGGCAGCTCTAAAGGAAAAGAAATTCGGCTTCCAGAGTCCTCCGAACTGGTCGTTCGACTTCTTCATCAGAGACTTGAGCAGACCCTGTGCAGAGCCGGGTTGCTGATGAATCTCTCGGGCTGTGGGAACAAGCACAGCGGCAGTACGCCTCTCAACTTCAGGACGCAACCCCCGGCGAGGCCCACTCTAGAGGTACAATGTCCTAAAGTTGGGCTTCATCAAGTTTGAGGTGCGGTTCAAGAATCTTCTGCTTGCGTATCTGTGTCTGTGTCTGTGTGTCTCCGCGTCCGTGTCTGTGCGTGTGTGTGGGTTGGTTGTCTATGCCTGTTCTATCCCAAGCTTGCTTTCTCTGCAGCACATCTACTCCCCGTTTTCTCTTCCCCTATCCGAGCCAGACAACTGGGCGTTTCGGGATGCCTGCATGTGAAGGTCGTGCTTCTCCGCAGCAAGGTCCAGGCAAGACTTGCCCTCGTGGTTCCGTGCCTCTGACGTGGTCTGAAGATTAGCTTTCTTGCTTGCCCTTTCACATCTCCAACCCAAACGAAAATCTCAGCAAAATACCTCAGCCCCCAAGACCTTACCGTCATGAACCAAAGCCCGATTCGCGAGTGTGAAAACAGGTAAGCAGACCGGCGGTATGTGCTGGATCTGCTACCAGTACATTCCGGCACATCTCGGGGGCCTGGATGTCTGACCGCTGCTCCACCAAGAACTCCACGACCGAAGACTGGACACCAAAGCTCTGAAAGTCTCTTCTCGAGGGTTCGGGGATATTTGGGCTCTTTGTGTCTTTGAGGCCAGGCTTCTTCCGCTGCATTCTTGGTCTGAGGTTTGGGGCTTGGGATGAAGACTTGCAGGACAGAGTTCCAGAGTTCATGATCCTAGACACGCCGATGTAGCGCGGCTAGAGAAGTCGTAGAAATTCCAGTAGGGCCTGGGGTCGAGAGCTTAGGCTTTTTCAAGGTGTGCAGACGGTGCTTCTAGGATCCTCGGAATAGACACAAGAATCGGGTTTTCCCGGAGTGAGGGCAAGCATTAGATTACAACATGAACCCTACGGGCCCCAAGCCCCACGCCCTCGAAATCCTACGGCACTCTGACTCTGAGACCTGACACAAGACGGAGCCGCAAAAGCACCACAGGACCACCCCGTCTCCGAGCCTGCGATGCGCAGACTGCGCGATGCAACGGCAGCCTGAGCCCCCAAAGGCTGTCCGAGGGGTTCCAAGATTTTACGGTCCACAGAGGGAGCAAAAAGACCCCTAGAGACGTATGAGACTTGGGTGAAGTTCAAGAGGCAACAGGGATCATCATGGGTCGCACGGGGAGTTCAGCAGGTTCTCAATGGCATCAAAATATCTGAAGCAGCTTCGAAGATCCAGATCAGAAAGTTTGGGGAAGGCTTTCGGTGAACAGACAAGCACAAGGGAAGCAGTCAGGAGTTGTTGATGGACATTTGATTGTTTGGGGTTCAGGCCCAGGGCTTGGCGTAAGGTTCTTTGAGTCCTGCCGGTTCAGATCCAACTACATCGATTGGAAACAACCTGAAACAGCACAGGCTGCATCTTGTGCATGACATGCGCATTGAAACTAGCACAGAGGGTGTGCGCAGACGTGGGTGAGCCGTGGCCAAAGGTTAGTACAAGAACCCAGCCCGCTGAAGCAAGTGCCCAAGCTCGCGGCATCTTTGCGCTGTCCAGGGCCTGGAGATCGGCCTCGCTGCAAATTTGGAGGCTTTCGAAACAGCAAATCACGAAGCACAAGTCGCCCCTGTCCTCTCTCCACCATTTGGGCTCTCAAGCCGTTGATTCAGGGAATTCTAAGTTGCATGATACTATCAATGTGCTGACTCATGTCTTCAAGCATGTGCGAGCTAAGCTCTTAAAGGTCCTTTCGACTCCAAAAATCCTCAATCGCCTCGAACCACACTAAAGACTCGAAGCCCCCAAGCTGACATCTCTGAGAAGCCCAACCACGGAACCCCAAATCCTGGTAGACACCGTGACAAGACCCCACACACACACACACAAAAAAAAAAAAAACACGCACCTTGAAGTAGTGCAGCAGCTTCAGGGCGGTGAGGTCCCCCTGCACCCAAACAGGGCATCTCGAACATGTGCTCAAAACACTTTAGGGAAGTCGAATTGAGCGCGTGACAGGCTGACAGACCAGCCCAAAACGCTGCAATACTGAAAGCTTCATCTGAGAGAAGCAAAAGAGCGGCCCCTAAGCCCCGAACCCCCCAAAAAAAACATTGACACCCCTGGCTTGACTAAACAAACAGCAACTTTGCGCCCGAAGCCCTACATCATGATAAGTCGTGAAGTCTACAAGCTCCAACACCAAATTCCAATTCAGCAGCCTTGTAAGCTGCCCAGTGCGCCACAGAACAGCCGTTCTTGTCGCCTTCGGCCCAGGGACAGATTCCAGGAATTTGTGGAACAAGGCTTCGGGTTTGGGTACTCGGGTCTGCCAAGGCTCTCGGGTCAGTGGCACGGCTAAGGATTTATGACTCTGGGGCCTAGCGATTCGTGACTAGCGAAGAACCGACCTTTCGCATTCGCAAAAGTGGATTCCGGCTCAGTGTCCCGGAGTCGTTCTTTCAGCGGTGGACCCTTCATTGGCTAAACTCTATGACGCACGTTCCGGCCATGTCACAGCCAGGCCCTTTTCAATTTGAAGATAAGGTCGGATGCATATGCGCATACTGGTATATCTGACATTAGCTATTCGCGTCTAGGGCCCGGGCTGTCCGCCATCATCTGAGCCTGAAGGTCGCGACCCCGATGCATCAAGAGAAGCATGCTGGGGTAGGACCTGAGTGGAGTGCCAAGTTTTGTTTGGGTGGTGTTTTGGGGGGCACTGGGAAGAGGGGCAGAGGACATTGGGCTGGGCTGGGTGTGGCGGGGAATAGTGCATGGGGGGGGCTCAGGGTATGATCTCGTGCACATCCGCGCATGTGCAAGTTGTGTGCCATGAGCCACGCCCAAGAGTGAACTATTTTCTCCTGCCTACTCTACTCATGCCACACTTTACCTGCATGCATACAGCAAGATCCAGCGGGCCGCTAGAGGATCTACGGAATGGGCATGAACAGCATGCTTGGGAAGAGCATAGTGGGAGAGAGAGCGAGTTTGAGAGAGAGAGAGAGAGAGAGTCTGTTCAAAATGCGAGAACCCAGGACCTCAACTTGCACAATCCTCCGTGCTGTTCACATTTGCCCCGGCCCCAAAGCGACCAAGAATGCCCAAAGCCTTCACCGAGTCAAGGCACCGGTGCTGCACGGCGATGGTCAGCGGGGTGGCGCCAAGGGAGTCCTTGCAAGCGATCGAGGCCTGGCAGTCGCAGTTGGAGGTTTCGGAAGGGTTTGGGATGCCTTCCGTGCCAGAGCCAATTGCGTCCAGGGCCACGGGCTTGAGGAATCCTCTCGAAGCATATCCCGATGTACCCCGATGTACCCAAATGACACGAAGCTTGTGATGAACCTTGTGATTATAAACTTATCTTCATGAACTCATCGACTGCAGAGGGAGGATCCCTTTGCATTGAGAAGCCGTAGCGGCGTTGGATAGATGAGCCTACAAGCAAATGCCAGAATGCCCCAGCAAATCCTCACAAGCTTTCCGGGCCTTGTTGTCAAGGAGCTGCCGCGCCACAGAGACGTGGCCCCGGAGAACAGCCCACCTTGGAGCACTTCTGCCACTGTAAGCAGCTGCCAGCTGTAAGGACTGCGTTCAGGGTGAGGAAACAGGTGCTGGGAGCATGCCGTGGGACACCCGGAGCTTGGCAAGGAGGCCAAGGTCAAAGATCTTCATGCCAAGGCGGCCAAGGCGCATTAACGGCGTCTGCCTGTTGTTGGCACATGCATCCACCTGAGTCGCATCGGGTCAGGCCCGTAGACGATTCGATCTAGGATCCTTGCTCTGGGATGCGAAACGGTGCAAGCCATGTCCACTGTGCAACCCGCGAGTAGAGATATGACGTTTTAAGTGCTTCGGGAAACTGCGGGGCATTGAGGGCACATATCTCGCTGAGCGTTCAGCCTGAAGGCCGTGCTCAAGAACTGACTGCGCGAAGTCCTGGGTCAGGTCGTTCGGTGGCCATCTGGTTGAGAAGGCGGGCTTAAAAGACCAGGGGCTGAGCCTTGAAAAATGGGGCACTGTAACGAAGTTTAGGGCCAAAAGGTCCTACCCCTAATCCGCAGATACCCGAAACCCTAAACCGAGTGAAGACCCACGAAGCTCTCTTCGGAATCGCGCTGGCCCAAGATCCCAAAACAACCCCAGAACAGGACAGAGACACTCGGCTTGAACCGGAAGAGACTGCCGAGAACATCTCCCAGCTCGAAGCCGACCCCTCAAGAAGACCCCAAAAACTGCGTGCAACCGCACGAAATGCCCCCTCCCCCTACTTCCTTTTGGCCAACCAGGGCGGCCCAGTGCAAAAGGCTGTGGCCGTCCTTTCGCAAAGCATGGTACGAAGCGTGGAGTGCATGCCGCTGGCTTCTTAAAGGTAATCGGAGGCTGCGAAGGGCTGTGGGATTTGGGGCTTTGGCAGTCTGCTCTTGAGCTGTTCGGAGAGCGTGTGGGCTTAACCCCCTCCCCTGGATCTTCCAATTTCGCGAAGCCCTTAAATCCTTGACAGCTACACAGTTGTTCGGCCCTTGTGAACCTGCTAGCCTCTGGCTCTGGCTGAAACAAAAACATGGGTTCAAGAAAAGCGACAACTTGTCCTCAAAGCTTGCAGGTCCCGCAAACAAAATGAACCGGCTCACAAAGTGGCTCGCTTTATGTTGACATGAGCATGCGTACTGCTGGTGCTGGTGCGCCATGGCCATCCCCCATCGTATGGACGGACTTCAAGATGTACGAAGACCGTGGCCAGTTGTGTGTTACTCTTGATTCAGTCTGACCAAAGCAGCAAAAACCCGCATCCACTCCATTGCCAGGTGAGATATTTGCTTCACGGCTCTCAACCTCCTAGGCACTTCGGGCAACATCCTTGCCTCATCGACGGCAGCCCACATTTCTGGATGAGCCTGGCCAAAATATCGGACGAAATGGCGCAGGGTTGCGAACTAGCTATTGTCTCATGTACGAAGGCTGCTTGCACGCCCAAATCCGAAACTTCTACAGGTCGAGCCAACCCTTGACGCCAATGAACCCAAGACACCACCATCTACGGTTCTTTCTGCCTCGAACATATGTACTTGTAGTAAGAGAGTGGAGAAGACAGAGGAGCAACACGCGCGCCAGTGATCGCCCATCCCGAAGATCTGACCACAGCCTGCCTCAAGCATGCCAAGAGCTTGATCCCAGTTCTGCTGCCTCAGAGACTTGAAAATCATCACAATGCCCGTCTTTGTTGTCATGAGCTGGCTGTCAGAACACGACAGGACCACTGCCTCGAATTTACAGTAAGTCAAGGGAACGCAGCTGCAAGCGCGCAGTTTTGCCACCAGTTTGCCGTGGGGAGCGTCATTATGGGCCAGAAGATACCATAACATCATCGACCCCAAAAGGGCTCATGGTTTGGATCAGCCAGCTTTAGACACCCAAGCAGCTCCCCTAGCCGTCTAACCCAGAACCGAATGATTGCCCATGCGCAGCTCATTTCGAGAATCACGCGGAATACGATCCCAATCCTCAAACTTGTACATTCAAAGGCGTCCAAGATCGAAAACTCACACAGCATCCCATCAGGGCGCGGGCCGGGCAAGCATGAAGAGTTCCTGAACCGGCGGGCCCTCGGATGCGACAAGCCCTGATTTAGAGGGCCTAGAGTCTAGGACTTTATAAGCTCCAGCGCGCCAAAAAGAAAAGGGCACACGTAGTACACGGGACCTCTGGGGCCTCACGGCCTCACTTCCACTCTGAGGACTTTAGGGACTTTAGGGCTCGCCTCGTTCTCCGGCTGAACCTCCTTGAAACTCATGGGACCTGTCTCGGAACCTTTCTGGGATCCCCTACGACCCTCCGTTTGCTGCCGTCTTAAAGTCTTGACAGTCAAGCTTCACTTGGCAACAAAGCACACGAGCACAGACTGACAACGAGTGCGCCGAAGGTTTTGCACCGTCTGCTGATACTGCAAGCCTTTACTGCTGGCCAAGGCAGGGTTCCGGCATCTTTTCCGATTCTACATCCCGACCGACTGGAAACTCCAAGGTGCGCCGCTTGTGCCGAAGGCGTGCGCGTCACGCAAGCGTTTACGGCGTAGACTTTATGGCTTACAGTGCAAAAACAAGGCTCGGTAAGTAGGCGTTTTAGGTTCCCTTACGTCCCAACTCGCCATCGTCCCCGAAAGCCCTCGAAGCCATGTGCTTGATCTGGAGTTTTTGAGCCAGGGCACGGGGCCGAAATTTAAAGGCTACTCAGTGCCCCATAATATGGGGTCCCACTGAGTAGCCAGCCAAATAAAACATCAAAAGCCGAAAAGTCCCAAAGTCCACAAAGCGAATTTTCGGACTTGCAAGCCTTTGAAGTGATGACTTCTGAAATTCTAGGCCTCTCACAAGTGACCTTCTCAGACTGGGCTTTTGAGTGGAGCCTATTGCCTATTTCGAATATTGACAGGGCGAAAGGTATGCTATGAGCGTGCCTACCGATGTTTCCAAGAGCCACACGCACAGGGATTATGACGATTATCCTGAAATAAACGCATATACATGTATACACGATACTTTCTTTCTTTTTTTGCGATAGAGTCGAAATGCGACGCGCGCCTAGCAAATGAATTCAGGTGAAACACCCGCCGAAGAGAGGTGGCGGTCCCCTCAAGATAAGCCTCCACTGACTTCCCGATGACTATGCACACAGTCTAAAAGTCCTTTGCAGCATACATATATTAATAACTGTATATGTACCGTCCTTATCTGAACACCCAAAGAGCCTGAAGCTCTAGCTCCTGAAGCTCACAGCCCCAAACAAGGAGCCTGCGGCTCAATCTGCGGTGGAGCTGGGTCAGCCTGCGGATGCTCTGGTTTCCAACTCACCCACAATTGCAGAATGGGTTTGCGTAGTGAGGCCACGAACCCTCTGAAGAGTGCTGGTCCTGATACGAGCAAACGATGAGTTCTGTTTGCCACAAAGGCAGTCCGGATACTACGGGACCAACACGGAGGACAGGGTAACAGCCCTGACCAAGTCCACGTTGGATCTGGTACGTATTGCAGACGGCGCTGTATCCCACACATCCAAGAGATCCCAAAACCACGAAACTCTAAGCTGTCCAAACCTGTCTGGGCCCTGACTCCTTCGGGAGCGTGATCCGTCTGGCCTGGGTGCGTGGCTGCTCGTCCACGGAGCCTGCACCAGGTGTGCACAAGGTTTTCAACCTGACACACGCCCAGCTAACTGCTGGAATGAACACGCCGAACAAGCCACATCTCGCCCGAAGACCCAGGCCGTGCCACTTCGGGCTTCGTGCCTTCCACTTCGGCGTGCTTCTGCGCTTCGCCGGCGGGCGCTGCCTGCAGGGGAGCCGGTTGCAAGGCCTGGGGCCTAAGAGCCTAAGGGCCTAAGAGCCCATTTTCGGCGACCGCTTCGACCTCAAAGTTCGTATCATCCTCGACCTACGAAACCCCAAACTTCAACCTGTGATGCAGAGCCACCTCTTCTTCGTAATCTGCACTCGCCATGTTGCGAAAGCACGGAGTGCCAGGCCAACAAGGAGGTGCAATCCAGGCTAGTAACCAGCTTTCTTTCAGGTCAAGCTTAAAGATCAAGCCGCCTCGTGCGATTAGGAGACCCGCAACCCCATATCCACAAATCATTTGTCCTCAACCCGTCAGAAGTCCAGCTCGCAGGTGAGAGATGGTATGAATTTCTGCTGCTCGTCTGGTAGCGGTGTGCTTTCGGAGCAGTGTGGTTCATTGCCGCAATACATGTCTACTGTTGCTAGGTGCAAGCGTTAGCTGGGCGAGCCAAGAGCCGCGGGTGTGAGTGCTTCAGGAACCCCAAGCCTTACAGACCACAGGATGTCGACAACGTCGGGAAAGGTTGGAACTGCACCCGCAGCATGCCGGCGAAAGCCTAAACTTTAAAAGCTGCAACACACGAGCTTATTCAAGCTGCTGCTCCTGAACATGCTCTGACAACTTCTTGCGCCCGAATGCACTTGCCTCTGTTGTATGGAATTGAGGAAGCCTACAGTCACAGGGCCGAAAGATCTGAATTCGGGATCCATAAGCAGCAGGCTCGCAATCTAAACCCCTCAGCCCGAAACCCCAGCTGGCAGCAACTTCTTTTGCTTGCATTCGGACGGACGCAGTTCGATTGACCAGGAATTTTCGTGCAGCAAAAGCCACTGAAAGAGTCTCAAAACGCAGAAGCACGATGCCTGACCAGCCTGCTTTTCATGGAGCCGCCTGAAAGCCGAAGGAAGAACTTGAACCGAAAACCTGAACTGGCGCGGCTGCAGGCACCTGCGCGATTGCCCATCCCTCTCTGCGGGGAAGCCCCTTCACTGAGCTCTACGGGGGAAATCTCTTCTTGACACTCAGAGGCCTGGTCTACAGAGGTCTACAGAGTCCACAGCTTTTTTCGGCGTAGCTTCTCAGGTTACAGCGGGCCTCGAGCCCATGGCTCTGGGAAGTGTTTGGGTGCTCGGCCCGTGCTTTAGGGGTGCAGTAAGAGGAAGCTCAAGGGCAGATGGTTGGCAGAGCAGCCCCAAAAGTAACAAGATCGACGCCTGCAAATCATACAACACCAAGGGCCTATGATTCTCAGGGTGGTCTGCGGCTGCTAGAGTTTAGGGTCTGTAGTCTGTACATGTACTCTATAGGACGGTACACCGTCAAAGAAGAGACTCCCTACAC